CTGTCTATCATCTAGACATTATCTGTCTATCATACAACAACTTAACAACTTTTAGGCATTCTACCAGTTTTGCCTCCCTGCCCCAAATGGACAACTAAACTGGTTTCCAAAGCTTCCATTCAGGGTAGGGAGAATAGGAGCCATAGACTGGGCACCTGGGTGCTCTTGAAACAGTCATGTGACTGCTCAAATCTCAGCTTCTCATCTGTAGACTGTGGATCAGCATTTGAAAGAGGTTTGTACTGGGAGTTAAGGTGACTTTGTTGGACATGTGTTCATCTGTCTTCCCTGGGAATGACCACCATTCCCCAGGGTCTCCTTATTCCCTCTGTATGTCAGTTGTCTCTGTTCTTCCATCCACTCAGCCCACTGTGCTCTCTGTTGTTCGTGAGTATCACATTGTAGGGCCAGAACAGACACTGGACAAGACTGGCTTCATTTTCTCAGTCCGAACTCCAATTTATTGGAAGAGAAAATCTGATTGAGCCTGTTTGAATCACCCCTGGTGCAAACAGGCCACACTTCGCAGGTCACCCTGCAGGAATGTGGCTACTGAGCAGGGGAGCCATTCCCAGGGAAGATAGATGAACAGATGTCCAACAAAGTCACTTTAACTCCCAGTGCAAACCACCTTCCAAAGCTGATCCGTGTATAAAAATTGTTAAATTATTGTAGGATAGACAGACAGATGATAGATAGATGGATAGATGATGATGACAGATAGATAGATAGATAGATAGATAGATAGATAGATAGATAGATAGATAAAACTTTAGAAGTGATAATGGTAAAGATGCGTCAGTCACATATTTTTTAAATGCATTTTTCTTGTCATCAGACGCATGCAGAATGAAAAGCTAATGGTCCCTGTCAAAGTGGGACCTACAAATGCCATTCAATCACTCTCACTGCATGGGGGCCATGATGGGAAACACTGCAGGCATCGTAATTGCATGAAAGTCCTCAAAGGTGTGTGCAGTCCCAGAGTCACCCAGTGTCCCTGGCAGGGGAGGATGCCAGAGTGGCAGGTCTCTTGGTTTCTCAGTCTATGTTCCAGAGGTGGCATGACCCTGAAGGAGACACTCCTGACCAAGAAAAGCTACTCATGCAGAGAGACGAGCCCAGAATCTGTCCCCACACAGCCTGTTCTAGGACAAATGCTCAGCCTCCAGGGTTTTAACTGTATAACCTCATTCCCCATGCACTTCAGACCCTCCACTGCATGCTTTTTTTCTACCAAGATGTGCAGATGTGCTAGCAGCCTTCCTGTATCCTCTGTTATCTGTCTAGGCGGGGCTTCTCAACTTGGCAGAGCAACAGAATCATTCAGAGAGTGTTTTAAAATACACAGATCCTTAGACCCCCGCCCCCAGGGGCTCCGTTTTCTAAGTTCAGGGGTGGGGGCAGGAACTTATTTTTAAACAGCTTCCCAGGTGATTTTGATTTACATCAGACATGAGAGCCCCTGAACTAAAGCAAACTGCCTCGCACCACAAACATAAGTTGAGGTTCTGTTATGCTGTGCCTGGGGTGACAGCTTCAGATGTGATTTCTCAGAACTGGCTCTGCTTTCACCACTCAAAGGGATACAATGTCTTTCCTTTCTTTTGCACAGACAAACTCGCCAGAGAAAAAGGCTTTGGGGAGTAACCTGGGCTGATCAATAGAGCAATCATGTCTAGACTTTTAAGGATGTTGCCCCACCTTCCCAAGAATGCTCAGAAGATGGTACTTACAGACCTGCAATTTGAGAAAAACAGGGTTTTCATGAGAGGCGGCTCAATCAATGCCATGGGGCAGGGGGGCAGGGACTTGCCTGTGATTCCAGGGGTGTACCCTGCATGAAGCCACTGTTCACATAACCCAACAGCCAAGACTGACTGCCAAGGTCCATTGGTAATGGGAGAGTGAGACCCCAAGTCGCTAAGAGGGGCAGAAAGCCTTTGGGGCTGGGTCGGGAAAGGCAGTTAGCACAGGCAGAGAATCAGAGAACTGGACCAGAAATAGAGATAAGGAAGAGCTTGAAGGGTCAGGGAACTCAGAGGAAGCTCAGAGATGAGTCAGGGGAAGCAGAGAGCTCTCCCCACTTCTCAGGAAATCTAGGAGAGGATGCCGGGCAGAAACAAGTGACCTCTGCTGGCCTGCAGAGACTTGTAGATTGCGCGATCTCAGCGTGGTTCCTGGGAAGAACTGGGAGCTCTCCAGAGACAGAGGTTTTGTCCTTAGCCATAGATTTGCCTCTGCAAGCTGTGTAACCTTAGACAAGCTGCCTGACCTCTGTGGGCTCTGGTTTCTTCCGTAGAATGGCAGGGTGGGGATAGTTGGTCTCTGGGTTCTCTTCCAGCTCTGAGGCTCTGTGAGGGATGTTGCCACTGAGTTGGGAAAAGATCAACCCTAACTGTTGCGTGTGTTAGAATCTCCTCTGTCCTCCCAGTCTGGGCCCTGTGGGGACCCTGCCTACTCAGAACCATGGAGACCATCCCCTGGTAACCAGTTAGGAGGAGAGAGGTGAGCACCAAGGGGCGGGGGCAACCTGGGAGGCAGCCGTGGAGATTGGGAGCCTGGAGGGGTGCCTCATAGCCATTTGGGGAGTAGAAGGTTCTACAAGCCTAAGGAGACCTGAGGCCGATGGCTCCCATCATGGCCTTCCTCCCTGTCCTGCAGGGACCTCGAGGAAATCTGCAAAAAGGTGTTACCATAAGGACAGAACGGAATCATCACTTTGCCCACAATCAGGTTACACAGGCTGACCGAGGTTTCAGGGTTTTCTGCTTTGGGCTGGAATGACCTCAATGCAGTGTAGTAACTGGGTAAGCTGGAAGCCACCTACTCCTTTGAAGGTGGAAAAACAGATGGTAAATTACAGCTTCCTCATGCAGCCTGTTTGGCAGCCGTGGGGTCTGTATCAGTCAGTGTCTGGTCGGGAAAACAGAAACCACAGCAGTTATTTTAACAGAGAGAATTTAATCTGGAGAATTGGTTAAACCTGTACTGGATGGCTGAAACGGCAAAAAAAAAAAAAAAAGAAGTGAGGGACACATTGAGGTAGCAGAGTGAATAACTACAAAAAGCAGCTAGCACCCCACCGCAGGAAGAAAGGGAAGGGAGGGGTTATTAGAACCTATAAGCTGGGAGGAGTGGCTGCCTGCGATGGGGGAGAAGCTGGGACCCAGGCTTCAAAGAGGTAGGTGCTGCCTGGCTGGTATATCTGAGGGGGCACAGTGAGGCTGATTCTAGAAGTGTGAAAACAAAACACAACAAAATAAAAACGGCTAGAAACTGAAACTGACTCCTGCTGCCAGGATGGAGAACAATCACTGGGTAATGTTGCCAGGACCAAGAGGCAAATCAGGAAGGAGCCAGGCCCAACTCCCTCCTCCTGCCCCTTGCTTCCTTCTGGCTTCCCCATTGGCAGCACCTACCAGTGAGCAGCTGTCAAAGGAAATGTGTGGTTTGCAGCATCTCAGCCTGGGCACTACAAAGTAGAATATAGAACAGTGGGGCTGGGCTGAGAGAGAACTATCTGGCAGTCTGCTTTACAGCCAGGGGGACCACAGCAGGTGAGAGAGAATCAAAGAGGCCCAGGGGTGCAGCACGAAAGCTAAGAAACTAGAGTTTGCCTTGGCCAGGCACAGTGGCTGATGCCTGTAATCCCAGTTCTTTGGGAGGCCAAGGCAGGAGGATCGCTTGAGTCCAGGAGTTTGAGATCAGCCTGGGCAACATAGTGAGACACTATTTCCATGAAAAAACTAAAAATTAGCCGGGTGTGGTGGCATGCACCTGTAATCTCAGCTACACAGGAGGCTGAGGTAGGAGGATCTCTTGAACTCAGAGGCTGAGGTTGCAGTGAGCCGTGATTGCACCACTGCACTTCAGCCTGGGCGACATTATTTATTATTTATTAAACAAATAATAAAATAAAGTTTGCTTTGACTTGACACTTTGGAAATCATGGAACTCCAGGGGCCCCAGGTAGCCGGGGTTGGGGTGATGCCCGAACTTGTCATCGTACTAGGCACCAGCTGGTGCCCAAGTAATTCAGGGCTGCACAACCATACTCTAGAGACTGGGAACCAGAAAAGGCTAGCCTAGAGGCTCATCCCTTTCAGTCTCAGTATTTCCTCCCCCGCTTCCTCCTGGGGCAGCAGGAGCAGTGAGGAATTAACTCCTCGAAGCAAATGAGGACAAGACCAGACATTGTTTTTACTAGGTCAAACCCACTTGCCCTGCTAGAAAGAGAAAGGGTAGGGGCTTTTTTTCTTGTCATACAGATGCCAGTATAGTGTGTGTGTGCTGGGGCGTGGTGAGAGGACACATGTACAATTTTGCACTGGCCCGTTTTCTCCAGCTCCATCCCTGTAGGAGTGTCAAGTCAGGGAAACACCTGTCAACATAGACCAGGCAGCAGAAACATCGCCCAGTGGAGCAGCCACACTGTGTGCCTCCTGGAGTTACCTCCTGGGTCTCAGCATCCAAGCTAGAGGATAGAAAATAGGACACCCAGGAGATGGGGACAAGGGAGAGGAGTCTCGTGTTTAGACAGGAGCTGGCCCCAAGAGAAGACCCAACATTGGGTGGGCTCAAGCCTCACCTCTGTGGGTGTCCCCAGAAGCCCCTGCAGAAGCATGTGACAGCCAGGCTGACCTTTGGAGTCCTGCCCGACGCTCAGGCTTGAGGTTTCTCTGAGTGAGGATCCAGCTGTGCTCTGGTTCATGTGTTTTCCCTGTGACTCTGTCACGCCCGTGTCTACATGACACCCGGGCCTTTGAGCTCCAAGCATATTTTTGAAAAGGCAAAATCTGGGTCAGGCAGTCACCGTCTGAGCAAGGTTCCAGAGGACTTTCCATTCCCCAAGCCCTTCCCTTTGAACTTGGCCAAAACCTTCCTCCTGGGCTGGTATTTCTTCCTTGGAATGATAGCTCAAAGGTGAAAAATGCAGGGCAGAGCTCACCGCAAGTGGGCCGAGTTGTTTTTCAGTCTGATGAGTAAATGGAGAAAAGTACTAGCAGCCGAAGCTGGCAGCCCCAGCCTGCCCAGGATTGCCCAGCTCTGCACCACGGCCTTGCCAGTCACTTGTGCCATGAGCTGCCACTCTGAGGACCACTCCTTTGGGACCACAAATGGTTAAAGCCACCACCTGGCCTTTTCTCCTCCTGCCTCCTGATATGACTCTGTGGTACAAGGGCCACCCACAGAGCTCCCAGCTGCAGACATGTGTTCCTGCTCAGACAGGGCCAGAAGGCACTGCCAACCTCGGTGCCATTGCTCTGGGAGCTGACTGCCTTCCAGTTCCTCTTCCTGGAATCCTCAGGTTAGTCATGTCTGCATGCCTGGAATCCTCAGGTTATTCATGTCTGTGTGCCTGGGCTCCTGGCTAGGTTGGCCAGTTCAAGCTAATTTGATTCTGGAAGACTTTTCCCAGTAGTAGCAGCGTGGAGTGACTGCTGCTTGGTTCCTGTGGATATGTGTATGATTTGGGGGTTGGAAGTGGAAGGTAGGCTTCCTTTCTCCGGAATCCCAAGGAGTGGAGCATAGCTCAAAGAAACAACCATTGTGAGTGACACCTCTGTCACCTGGAGCCATCTGGCTGCTCCCCAGCGTCCAGAGGAAAAGGAGCCCCAGAGCCTCTGGACCACTCCCAAAGGAGTCCAGAGAAAGTCTTGGAGCTGGTAGCCTGCTGCCCCCCAACTCCGTGGGGAGGTGGAGATGGACTGTCAGCTGGGTGGACATCCTCCAAGCACGGAGGGACCTGCTGGTGATGGACGCACCTCCTGGAGCCAAAGCCTTAGACCAGGGTTTGTCCTGCTGGTCTGGAGGGCAGAAAGGTGGGATCCTCAGACTTGGCCAAGAACCACCCTCCCCACCATGAAATCCCTCTTCCTGTGCTGTCAGAGCTAGATTGTTCTAGCAGAAATGGAGCTTTTCCTTTTTCATTTTTACCTTAATTTTGGTGTAGAGTTCCACAAGTTTTAACACATGTATAGGTTCACATACCCACCACCACAGTTTGGGAGTACAGGCAGTTCCATCACCCCCAACACCTCGTGCTGCCTCTTCTCGTCACACTCTCCTCCAACCCACAACTTTACCAACCACTGATCTGTCCTCCATCACCATGGTTTTGTCTTTTCCAGGACACTTTATAAAGGAATCATCGAGTCTGTAGCCTTTGAGACGGGCTTCTTCTATTCTGTGCCATGCCTTTGAAATACACCGTGTCGCTGCCTGTATCAGTAGTTTGTTCCTTGTGTTGCTAAGTAGCATTCCACTGCATGGGCATGCCGCGGTTCATCTATTCACCTGAAGAAAGACATGTGTACTGTTTCAAGGTGGGCTTTTGTTTTTGTTTTTGGCCTTTGTGAATAGAGCTGCTATAAACATTCATGTACAGGTTTTTCTGTGAACAAAAGTTTTTTATTTCTTCAGGGCAAATACCTAGGCGTGAACTGTATCCTATGGTAAGAGTGTGTTTAGCTTTATAAGAGATTGCCAAACTCTTTTCCAGAATGGTTTTACAATTTTGCATTCTCATCAGCAACAGATATCCTTCCTTTTTGACTTTTGTTTGAAAACAAAGTCATCTTTCCGCCAAGGTGAAGGATGGGGATGCAATGAACTGAAATAAAAACTGAGTCCAGAAATGAAATACAGAGTGATTGTGAGCCATTTGCGGCTCTCCCAAAACAATAGGTGTCCTTAAGGCTGAAAGCACCTCAAGTTGAAGCTCCAGGTGGACACAGTGGGATGTGAACTTTGGGAGAAGAGATGGGGCAGGTCCCTGGAGAACTGGGTCTTAGTTAGGGCTCTGCTGTGTGCCTGTGGGCAGGTTACTCTGCTGCTCCAAACCTCAAGTGTTTACTGGGATCGACTCTTGCGGGTTTGATAAGGTCACAGTTTGTGGTGTTTCAATTGTTACGTGATCAAGGCTTTGTGGTGAGCATCAGAAGCAGCTCTAAATAAAGGTTTAGAATGCACACAGCCTGCTTCCAGGCCATGTGGAAGCAAGAACTCCTCCAGAAATATTGAGGCAAAGATACTTTGCAAACATGCAGACATCCAAAAATGCTTTGCTTAACAACAGAGAAGTTTCCAGTAGTGTGGGAACTGTTCTCAGACGTGTGGGGCCCGGAACAGATCTGATCCAGAGGACAGAGGCCCTTTCTGGAGAAAGTGGCTGAATACGTTTGTGGTTGTGTCTCTGAACTTTCTCTCTGGACCATTTCTTTCTTTTTTTTTTTTTTATTATACTTTAAGTTTTAGGGTACTTATGCACAACGTGCAGGTTTGTTATATATGTATACTTGTGCCATGTTGGTGTGCTGCACCCATCAACTCATCAGCACCCATCAACTCATCATTTACATCAGGTATAACTCCCAATGCCATCCCTCCCCGCTCCCTGCTCCCCATAATAGGCCCCGGTGTGTGATGTTCCCCTTCCCAAGTCCAAGTGATCTCATTGATCAATTCCCACCTATGAGCGAGAACATGCGGTGTTTGGTTTTCTGTTCTTGCAATAGTTTGCGGAGAATGATGGTTTCCAGCTGCATTCATGTCCCTACAAAGGACACAAACTCATCCTTTTTTATGGCTGCATAGTATTCCACGGTGTATATGTGCCACATTTTCTTAATCCAGTCTGTCATTGATGGACATTTGGGTTGATTCCAAGTCTTTGCTATTGTGAATAGTGCTGCAATAAAACATATGGTGCAGTTCTGATAGCAGCAATGATTATAATCTTTGGGTATAACCAGTAATGATGCTGGTAGATGGTATTTCAGTTCTAGACCTTTGAGTGATCGCCGATGGAGCTGTTCTCCAGCAATGGTTTGATAGCTTTACAATCTCACCACAGCTGTAAAAGTGTTCCAGTCTCACCTCCTCTCCAGCACCTGTTGTTCTGACTTTTAATGATTGCCATTCTACACTGGTTGTTGAGATGTATCTCATTGGGTTTGATTTGATCTCTGTAGCCGTATGAATGACGAGCATTCATGGTCTTGGGCTGTAACGCCAGGTCTTCTTGAGGGAAATTTCTGTTTCATATCCTTTGCCCACTTTTTGATGGAGTTGTTTGTTTTTCTCTGGGCCATTTCTATGCCTTCTGCCCCTCCTCGTCTGCCTGGGATCTTCAGGATCCAAACTTCTACTCCACAACTAAACAACGAATTTCTCAGAGCATAAGGTTGAGAGCTTGGGCTGGGAATCAGGAAGACCTAGTTTATAGCTGAGCCATCTTCGGCTGGGGTAACAGTGGATCAATTACTCAACCTCACTGGGCCTCACATCTCCCATCTGTAAACGGTGGTAATAAGAATGCTTCCCTCAGCAGCCTATTCTGAGGGCTAAATGAGGCAATGCCTGCACAACCCTTAGTGTAGGTCTGGTACATGGTATGATTGCAGGAAAAATTAGTTCTGTTTGTATGTTGTTAGATTATTTTTTTCTCTTTTAAAAAAATCTTCAAAGAAGAACATTGGCCCTCAGATCTCGAAGCTCTCTCCCAGCTCTTATGTTACATGAAACAGAGCAGGATCTACTTCATCCATTCTGGAAACTGAAAGCTATGCCACATCAATTTTCTGGAAACAAGGGCTACCAGGAAAGAAGGGTCAGTTCGGGTCCCATTTTCACCACTGAACCCAAACTGACCTCAGCATCTGTTCTGTTGATGATTGGAGACCGGAAGTTCTAAAGCTCCCCATCCCTGGTAGAAGAATCATTCCTGAAAGGTGAAAGTTCCAGGGCCAGGGTTTCCAGAAGGCTGAACAAAAGAGGAAGCGAGGTCTCTGTGTTCCTCTCCTCCCTGCACAGATTGGTCAGTCACTCTGTTCTACAGGGACTCTCTGTGACTCATGAGAGGGACTGTGGAGGGAGTCCCCTCTGTAACGCTCTGTAACTCTTCGAGGGACTCTCGAAACTCATGTATGAAACTGCAGAAGTCTGCTTCTAGACCTTGCCTTGGCCATGTGAGGGAAAGGGCCCTTCAACCCCTGCCCCCTGCCTTGTAAATGTGCAAATGGACTCACATTTGAACCTCAACAGGTTCCTGAAAATCGAATAACAAAATAGATTGCTGTAAAGTAGCCCATATTTTCCCATAGGCACAGGGTTGTAATTGGTGGTTACTGGCCTGATCAGTGGTAACTAGACAGCAAATTTATCACTGATGTGACCAATGTCATAAATGAATACTGTATGTCTCTATAACCACTTAAAATACTCAAGTTATGCTCCAAGTCCTATAAAATGGGCATAAATACACTGAACACTTCACTGAGGCAAGGGAACCAATGACCTATATGCAATATATGGGCAGCTATAAAAAATACAACCAGGCCATAAATTTGAATGAAAACCAATATTCTAGCCTTAATGGACATGAATTAAATATTTAATTAACACCAGTTTGCCCTACTTGCTTAGAATTCCAAATGAATTTGGAATGGATAATTTGGGCAGCTCGGGTGTCTTTTTAGAATGGCCCAGGGAAGCTTAAGTTGTTACCTTTGTCCCTCAGTAAATGAAGATCCCGAGGGGTGCAGTGGCACCAGCTCATGGCACGGAGCAGTGAAAAAGGATGGTGTTTACCCCACTGAACCACACGTTCCAAAGGCGGGGCCACGCCACACAGCACACGCCAGCTTCTCCTCCCTCAGGTTAGATGCAGCTGAAGGGGAAGTCGACCTGCCCAGGTACCCAGCAGGGCTGGCGGCCTGCTGTCTGGCTGCTAAGCCCAGGGAGGGAGGCAGTTTTGTGGATGCACAGGAGTGCTTCGAGGACACACTGGTGTCAGGATCGCGGAAAGCTGGCTGAAATGCTGATGTCTCACTCTGACATCCTGCATTAGTACGGCTGAGAAATCTGCATTTAGGCAGCCCCTTAATGCTCATTCTGGTGAACACTAGGGTTTGAGACTCCCTGCAAGGGGAGGTATTCTCATCTCAGCCCCGTCCTGTCCACGCATAGTCAGTCACCACTGTTCCCTCAACTACACAACAAAATTGAGTATCGTGACCTCCTCTAACCCATTCCATAACTATGCACGCATTCCTCATATCTGCAGACTGGTTCTGGGCCCCCCATGGATACCAAAATCCACAGGTGCTCAAGCCCCTGATGTAAAATAATGTAGTATTTTCATATAACCTATGCACATTCTCCCATTTACTTTTAATCATAAGTGTCCAATCTTTGGGTTTCTCTGGGCCACATTGGAAGAATTGTCTTGGGCCACACATAAAATACACTAACACTAATGATAGCTGATGAGCTAAAAGAACAAAAAAATCCGCAAAAGAATCTCATAATGTTGTAAGAAAGGTTATGAGTTTGTGTTGGGCCACATTCAAAGCTGTCCTGGGCCACACGAGGCCTGTGGGTCGCGGCTAGGACAAGCTTGCTTTAAATCATCTTTAAATTACTTATAAGCCCTAATGCAAAGTAAATGCTATGTAAATAGTTGTTATGCTGTATTTTTATATATATTATTTCTCACTGTATTTTTTTTTATCATTTTTTCCCAAGTATTTTTGACCTGCACTGGTTTGAATCTGAGGATGCAGAACCTGCGGACACAGAAGGCTGACTATATTTCTAATTTTTAAAAGTTGTCTTAACTATACAGGTAATAAAGGAATGCATATTAGTTGTTTTAAAAGAAAAGTAGAACACACAGCAAAACTTAAAGCGCACAAAGTGAATGTCCTCCTTTCCCATCTCACTTCCTTCCTTGGAGGAAACCCCTGTCAATCGCTGGTTGCACATCCTTCCATACTTTTTAAAAATGCAACTGCAGGCCAGGCACCGTGACTCGCGCCTATAATCCCAGCACTTTGGGAGGCTGAGGGGGGCAGATCATCTGAGGTCAGGTGTTCGAGACCAGCCTGGGCAACATGGCAAAATCCCGCCTCTACTAAAAATACAAAAATTAACCAGGTGTGGTGGTGGGAGCCTGTAATCCCAGCTACCCAGGAGGCTGAGGCAAGAGAATCACTTGAACCCAGGAGGTAGAAGTTGCAGTGAGCCGAGATTGTGCCACTGCACTCCAACCTCGGCAACAAAAGCAAAATTTTGTCTCAAAAACAAACAAACACATTTGCATACTCATGTAATTTGAACTTCTCCTTCTTTACACAAATGGCATCCTTCTACTCACATTGGTGAGGAACTTGCTTTTTTCACTTTATGTCTGGAAACCATTCCATGTCTTTCTTATACTTTTTTCAATTTACTTTTTATTCGTAACTTTTATTTTAGGTTCAAGAGTACATGTGCCTATTTGTTATATAGGTAAATTGCATGTCATGGGGGTTTGGTGTACAGA